CAGCAACAACAACAACAACAACAGCAACAACAACAACAACGATAGATTCAGTAGTAACTGACCAAATGCATACCTCAATGATGGAAAAAGCTGAGAAAGCATTGACAGTTGGGGTGACCGACAGCAATATGATGATGAATGTATATGAAAATCCTGTAGCTCCGATGATAGTACATCAACCGCTTATGGATGAAGAATATAGACGATTAGTGGAAGCGGAAATGTACATACAGGATGCTATTGAATATGTTGCCGATGAAATTCGCCCTGAAGCACCGAGCGGTTTCATCGTTGAAGAAGAGATGTTGAATAATACAAGTGAAAGCGGTAATATCACCGGTGCTCCAAATTTACAACAGTTACCATCTGCTTCACCGGAAGCTACAAGTCAAATGTTCAGGACCAACGAAGTTAGTTGATTATTTTTATAACTTATCTCTCTACCTGATAAAATATTAATTATTTAATGGGCAAAATATTTGATTAAGCAAAAGCAAAATTGATTTTTCAATGGTAAATTATATTGCTAATATCTAATATAGCAAATAATTATTCATTTTACTCATTTATCATTTATTTATATCGAAATAAATTGCTTATTTGTTATATACATTCTATGAATATATTCTATGATTTGAAATTTAATTTAAATCAATCTTAAATTGATTTTAAGATAGAAAATATACAATTTAAGATATTTGAAAAAGTGGAAGAACCGATAGAAGTTGATGATGCGGTAACATATGCCCCTGAAATACAATCTATCGAAATTCCACCCGATGAAGCGAGTGTTAACAGTGAAAATTTATTGGAATATTTTGATGAGGTTGCTGCAGAATACGCTAATGTTGTTAGTGCTTTTCTCTTTTCATTTAACTTTTTTTTTTTGATTGTTAATTTTTAAATTCCAAAAATTTATTTCAACTTTGAGATGAATTCTTAAATTGTCATTATTTTTATTAATTCGTTCATCTTCATTAGATTTATTATTAATGTAAAAAAAAATGCATTTTCATGATTCAAACATATTTTTGTTTACAGCTACCATTACCACAATCAATAGGAGTTACCGGAAATACACCATTTACAAAACCAGCAGAAACATCGCAATCAATATCTTTACTGAAAAGTTCACGAAGTTACACATCAAGCGGAAGTCAACCACGGGTATGAGTTAATGGTTTAAGTAATTATATTAAAGTATAACAGAAAATATGCACTTAATTACCAACTATTATAACAGAAAATATGTACTTAAATATCAATTATGCAAGAGTATTTAGTTAATTGAAATGTTGAAAAATTCATAATATATTAATTTTTTATAATAAGTAAATCATTTCAGGTAATTATTAATTTTTGATATCTGAAATGTATCCGGAATAGTTTTATTAGTTTGATTTTAAAGGCTGAACCTATAAAAATGAAGGAATGATAAGATTGATCAACTGAATATTGATTTTGTAATCGCTATCGAATTCGGATATTAAAATTTCTGGAAGCATTTCAGATGAAAAAACGAAGTTCATTGTTGAGTGTATTGGGTGTAACAAGTACGCAAGAGATGTTGTTAACATTAACATCACTTGAAGATCTATCAAATGCTATGCGTAAAGCTGGTTTACAGTCCACAAATTTGATTTTTGGTAAAAGTATTTTCAATTTTTAAATGGAAATTTGAACAATTTTGCTATTCAATCAATTAAACCTCATTTGTTCAAGTAAATCTTTTCATATTCATAAAGTTTTGTAACGATGTGTTTTTTCTTAATTTCCAAACATTTAACTTTGTTGAATTTAACTAATTTGATAAACATGATCAACAATGATAATATTATCGCATTTAGGTATTGATTATACGGCTAGCAATAAATATCAAGGTGAACAGTGCTTTCAAGGGCGATCTTTGCATTCCTTGGATCCTTACAAAGAAAATCCATATCAACAGGTTAGACGAAATGAACTAATTATTTTTTTTTTTCATATGTATGAGAGAAAAATTAATTTTGTTATCACTAAAATTATCAATCTTTATATTAATTATGAAAACTTGCTAATAATTGATTAGCTTAATTGATTAGCTCAATCAATAATTGATTGGCTGTTTGCTACTGAATAACTTAATTAGCTTGTAAGCAACATATAAATAATGATTGATGTGGAATTAAAAAAAGATATTTAGGTAATTAAAATTATGGGGCGGATATTGGCACCGTTTGCTACATCCGGTTTTATACCAGCTTATGGTTTTGGAGATGTGAAAACGAGTGATTGGTCAGTGTTCAAATTGAAGCCTGATGGTGAATGCAGAAATCTCGATGAATTATTACAGTAATTTGATATTTTGAATATTTCTGAAAGTTAAAATTTTTCAACAACTCAACTTAGAATTCATAATATTTGCAATGATTCATTTAGATGTAATTTTATGTTTTACATTTCATAAAAATGATCAAATCATTGAAAATGATTTATAGTATGATTTAATAGGTCCGTGAAAGTTTTCCAGAAGTATTGAAATATATCATTTTCTTTAAAAGAATTTATTTTACAATTTAACAACAACAGTTACGAGAGTTTGAAATGATTGACTAATACATGCCATCATTGTTATCAGTGTATACGATGCAATCACTCCAACAATAAGTTTAAGTGGTCCAACAAATTTCGCTCCACTAATTTACGAAGCTATTCAAATTTGTGAGAAAGCTCAAAATGTTCGTTTTCTTTGATTGTTACATTTTTAATTGAATCGTTTTATCTTGAATAGGGAAATATTAGAAATTACCTAAATTTCATTCCTAAAATCAAGCAGAAAATACAAATTTCAGATTTTGTTTATTTATCATTTAAAATATACTTATCTAATTTATGCATAGAATGCTACCAATTTTAGCATTTCAAATGATTGAAGAGAAATAATCTTTAATCATTTAATCAAAATATTTACTCAATTATTTAATCGTCATTTATGATTAAATGTTAAAACAAAAAGATCATTCTTGTACAAAAGTTTGTTTACAGTATCATATATTAGTAATAATAGCAGATGGACAAGTGACCAACGAAAAGGCTACTCGAAAGGCCATTGTACGAGCATGCCAATATCCGTTGTCAATTATTGTGGTCGGTGTTGGTGATGGACCATGGAATATGATGAAGGTTATGCATATATAGAAGTGTACTGAAAATTTACTCCATTTTTATTTAATTATCCAAATTTTACATTTACATTTTTTCAAAATGCTTCATTCAATATTTAGCATAAGTAAGTTCGTAGTGAGTAAATTTACAAAAAGTAGTGAGTAAATTTGGAAAGTGAATGAGTAAATTTGCAAACTTGCTAAATTTCAGATATTTGATGAATCATTACCAAGAAGACCGTGGGATAATTTTCATTTTGTTGAATTTCATGAAGTGATGCAAAAAGCGAATAATGTTGATTCCGGTGAATTATCATTTGCAGTGCAATCGTTATTAGAAATACCGGATCAGTACAATATAGTTCGTCAATTGGGCTTAATACGATCAGTATCACCAATACCCGAACATTAGTCCGTAATTGATTGAATAAGAGGACTTTTGATAGAAATGATCATCATTAAATCATGTTCCCTCCATATTAGACCTTACAAATAATACTTACTTCTATAGCTTTATTTATTTTAAATATCTTCTACTCTGTATAGTTGAGTGATTTGCGATATTTGATTTTTCTTACAATTCATATAGTAATACTATCGAAAGTAGAGCATGTGTGTATAAACATATCCCTATCTTTAATTGTACTCCTTCATTTTATCCTCAATCTTTTTAACGGCTAACTTTTCCTAACAATTATAATTTATAATTGCATTTCATTGCAATAAAAATGAACAGTTGCGCGTTTATTATCGTTAGTAATGAACAGCTTACAGTAAATAATCCAAGTAATTTCATTTCAAGCAGTTTTAATTACTTTATACAAAGTAGTTGGTAAACAAGCTTAGCTCATTATAAAGCTCTAAAAGAGTTATTCTAATGGTATGGTACGTTTTTTTGCACTCATCATTTTATATTTGTAATTGTTAAAAAGAAGAAAAAAAAAACGACATTAAAAGCGCCTTTACTATAACAGCATACAATACAATAAAGCAAAATGGATTTAATTGAAAAAAAAAATTGACAAAAAAAAATGTGACAACATGAAAAAAATGATATAAATTGTATAGAATGCAAATGTTTCATCAGTTGGTCCCATAAAAAAAAATATTCTTATACTTCAGCATTACAAGCAAAAAAAGATGAAAACATAAATTGGATAACAAAAAGGAAATAGCGGAATGCGATGTATTGCAATTATTAATCTCATACAAATGCATAGATAGCATATTAATTTCATGCAGTTTCGAGTGTTAAAAAATTTTATTATCATTTCTCAAGGATAGGTAATGAATGATTTTTTAATTAAATCTGATTAGAAGCAACCTTTATCCTAGCATTCGAAAGATAGAAAAATCTCTAGATTAGAAGCAATCTTTTATTTTTCCTAGCATTGAAAAACAGAAAAATTATGATTACCAAATAATATGACTGACTTCGAGATCAAAATTGCTCCTCAAATTATCATAAATGTATCGATCATTTTATGATATAGGTTAATTGTAGAAAGAAAAAAACGTACAAATCGTTGTTTCATATTTCATTATGTTGTAATGCACTTTCTAATGAATAGGAAAGATTTCTTTATGTCTGTAGAACAACAGAGCATTTTTATGGAGCACCTTTGCAAAAAAATGAAATCTAAAAAGTTAAACAAATGATTTCCATATCCCATAAATCTTAAATGAGAAAATGAAGCCACATTCAAAAGCAGCTTCAAAATAAGAAAGCACAGGAAAAAAGGTATGTGGTATTTTAGCGTAAATAATCTTATGCAATTATTCCTATATAATGGTATGCATAATAATACCATACATTTTTAACTTCTTCATTAAGACTGCTACTTCCTTGTTATAAGTGCTCTTTTTAATTACACTATCATATCAGATATATCAGTCTTATATCAGCCAAGAATTCGTGATAAATAGGTGAAATATGCTGGAACAATTTTTTCGAAATTCCAAGAAATAGAAAGAAGCAGAATGGGTATAACTTCTCTTTCAGCTGTATCAGATCATTATCAAATTTTACAAAATGATAGAAATGACTTAAGAAGTCATGTAATTTAGGCAGAAATTTATCGAAGCGAGGGGTCGACTTTTCGGCTGATATCCTGCATCACATCATCTACAGTTTCATCCATTGGATTATTGAATTCATCGCAAAATTCATCGCGCATTTCTTGTACTCGTAATCTATTGTAACAACAATAAATCAATATTGTAGCTATTACTTCACTGCTCAAATTAACTCAGGTCTAGAAATGAATAAATACTCAAGTTCATATTCTTAACATGTCGCAAAGTTTCGAGGATTCGAATCCAGTAAATCATGGTTAATGACATATATTAGTTTGGTTAATAGTTTGGTTAATATATTAGTTGATCAATTTCAAAGATTTAATAAAATTAAAAAATTCATTCGTATTCTCATTACTGCACGCTGGTTACTGATGTTGGGCACCGATAAATAAAGTACTTACAGTGTCACAATATCAGCATGTTTGCCTTCAATAGCTAAATCCAAAGGTGTTTCATTTAATCGATTCCTCAGACGCTGATCAGCTCCACGTTTCATTAACTGACAAACGATTCTGCAGATTAAAGCTTCCTAACAATTTAGCCATTGAATGTTTAATGTATTTGAAGAGTAATGTTTTATAAAGTTGAAGAAAAAAAAATAACTCACAGTGTGCATGCTTTCGATGCCGCGATATGAAGTGCAGTGTTAAGAGATGAATCCAATGCATTCACTTTTGCACCATTTAATAGGAGAAATTCCACCGCTATACTTTGACCCTAAATTTGAAGCATACTTTGAAATTTTCAGAAAAAATGTATAGAATGATATCAATGAGAGAAAATACAGCAAATATATTTGCTATTGCAGTGATAAAGAATCTGTTCGAAATAACCCAGAAAGTAAAGTAAACGTAAGAAGAGCATCGAGAACAATAGCAGAAAGCAAGATATGAAACACATATATACTTGTTGACAATTTGAAATAAACATAAAGTTTACAAAGTTTTCAATTTACATATTCTATGGCGATATGAAGTGCTGTTGTATCATTTATAGAAGTATTCACATCAAATCCTTCCGCAACAAGTCGACACAATTCTAAAGTATCGCCTGTTGCTGCAGCAAACATAGCTCGATTACTGTGGTCAGTGTCACTTACTGCAAAAGATAAAAATTCAAAACCATTATCCATACAAAAAACAATTTTATAAGTGAAAAGAACTTACATTTATCATGTGTTATATCTAAATTTGAATCAGATCCACATACAGAGATCTTTGTCCTGCCTTCTGGAACAAAAGTACTAAATGTTTCACTTTCTGAAAACGAGATCAACTTTTCAATTAATGCAATTTCTGTGCCAAATTATACCTAAAATCATGCTAGCATAGAAAAGACCATATGATAATTCACACAGTTCTACTGCTATGACAATATAGTTAGATTTTCAGCGATTGCTCAAAAAACTTAAAAGACAAAACTAACAAAATTTTTTTAAAATTTCATCTTACGGGAATTTACAACTAACATCATTAATAAAGTACCGAAAATATCTTTAGTTGGGATTTCAATGGGTTTCCATCCAGTGTCAGAAAAATATCCAGTTAACTGTTCTTGTTCATTACCAAAATATGGTGATGGTTCAGATAAACAACGACTGATTGAAGAAAACGATCGCTGTGCTGCTAAAATGAAAGAACATTTTCAATTTTGTGCTAAAAGATTTTCATTTCTCGCTAATGAGAATTTAATTTTCAATTTTTCCACAAGCTATGACTGTAAGAACTTACAAATCCCAGATGTTCTATGGTGGAAACCTTTTGCACGTTTGATGGCAGATTTCCTTACTCTTTCACTGCATTTTCTCACAAATCGTCTTTCAATATATTTAGCTCTGATCCATGCTTCTCGCACTGGTCTAAAATTATTTAACGTATATGGATTCAACTTCTTACCAGTTTGATATTTATCACGCAGTCACATAAGCAAGAAAAAACTTTTACTCTGGAACACACATCTCAAATAATACAATATAGTATGTTTAACACATCAAGGTACTTTAAATCAAAAGATTATTTTAAATCGATTTAATTAATAAAGCTTAGAAAACCACAGCGCCGGTTTAAATGTGAATTACAAAGAAATGCTTCTTTTAAATTAAAATATAAAATACCTTGCAGAGGTAGCAACAGGACGTGGTGGTATTATTTTCACGATGGGAATATGAGCAAGATATATTGAGTTTACTGCGCGATTTCCCAATGCTAACAATACCTTTTTCTGCTCCGGTTCTAATGTATCCATTATTAGAGAACGAACTTTCGAAACTTGTACACCAAAACTTCGATGTATACCACAGCATTCAATGCATAATAAAACCTGAATTTAACAAGGAAATTGAGTTGCTCCCAATTTCAAATAACATACGAAAGAATTCTTCTATGAATACAGAAAATAATTAATGAATCAGTGTGATCTATTTTCAATAAATTTATTGCTCTCAAATTTCTCCACTAACTCATGATCCACTCGAGTTTTAGTCTTTTGATAACTGCTTCATAGCTCAATTTGCCAAATTAGAAAAAAAGAAAAAAAAGTTGTTCAATTCCTGAAATAATATGCGGTAGGAAATTGCATTAGAGACATCACCTTAAAATATTTCAAAACTTCAGATTGCCCAGATAGGAAAGACTATCTACTGTGATAGAACGATGCTAAGCAATAAAACTATATTAACGAAAATTAAAAGCTACAATTGTTATTTCGAACTAACACAAAAGAAAGTATTGAATAAGATATATCACTCAATTTCAAAAAATAAAAAACTAATTCAAAACTAATAACTTACACCGAGATTGATACTAGCCCACTTTGGAGATTCGACACAACAGTCAGCGCAAACGTCATTGCCTGGAATTCGTCTTAATTCAGCTAATAATGATTCATGATGTAGTGTTAAAACAGATTCTGGAGTTCCATCGTTAATTTGCTTTACAGCTGTTTGCCGGAACACCGTATCATCATTTTCATGTAAATAATGAATTGTTCGTTGAAGAGCTCGCATCCATGCACTACATAACGTATCCGAATCGGCTTGTAACAAATGATTCCTAAAAATGTGCAAAACTCGATTGAAAACACAAATTATAGTTGATAACATTGTTTACAGTATTACTAAATTCCAAAATGTTAGATATAACTGATGTATTGTTGCAGATATTTAGGACAAAGTGGGTAAGTTAAATACTTTGTTGGTGTGACCAGTTCAAAACAACATGTTCTTTCAAATGTTGTAGGCGCTGGTCTGACAAGACACAACTTCAAATCCGACTCCATAATTGTTGGCGTCTCTATTGCATCGGATCGATGAGAATATATCTTGAAAAGAAATATTTAAAAAAGGATACCTTATAAATCTGACTGAAAATCTCAATTTAGTGAGAAATATATCGCTTAAACTTTCGCCTTCCTCAAATTTCCTGAAATTTTACCAATTTATTGTCCTTAATTTGAAACCAACGTCGATGCCATGTCTTGAAAGCATTGGTAGCTCGTTTGAAAAGATAACCTTCCATCACAACATCGTCTTCTGGAGAAATACCTGTCGGATGCAAAAATACTTCCTGAAATAAACCGCCCAGTTATAGGAAACACAACATACAGATTGTTATAATAACGTACGAAATCCAAGCATAAAACTTAGTTCCAAAATTTAAAGCAGCTTCACATATAAATTAAACTTTTATAAATGATTTCTAAAAACACCTTAGGCACTAAAGCATGACGATCTTGCATCTTTCTTTCCACATATTTACTTTTATTTGCTAGCAATGATGAAGTATCAGCTATTGCACCACTTTCAACTGCTGTCCATTCATCAAAAAACATGTGTCCACGTACAAAAAATGTGCTGCATTCTTTCACAAAAGACCATAACTAAAAAGATAACTAAAAATATACACTACAATGGCATGCTATATTAGAATAATTAATGTAATCATTAGAGTCTAACTGATCGATAGAGTAAACAGGTTGATTTAACAGCTTCTATATACTTGTGCATTTAAATTTTTTTTTACATACATTAAAAATTTAGCAACATTTAAACATACACTTAGTGGTAATTCGAGTGAATATCAAATATATGCTGCTTACTTTGAAATTTTATTTCTTAAACATTTGCAGTTTACACAAGCAAATTTAAAAAAAATAAATAAATATTTTGACTTGCGAAAATCGAAACAAACTCACGGCATCTAAAATAGTGTGATCTTTGTGTGCATGAGCGATATTTATCTGAGCTACATAATCGAGTGCAGTATGTGCAAAACATGTACCAACAGCAGTAAGAGCATTTCGCGCATCTGCAATATCTGTTGATCGTGCACGATGTACCGCGGCACGCTTTGCAAGAGCTTCATCTAGCGAATTTGATAAACTTTCAAAATGACAACGAGTTTCTGTTACTTTCGATCGTTCACTGAAACGCTGCTTTCATAATCGATGCTTCGAGAGAATGGAGCTTAATGATTAAGGGAAACTTCCTCATTTATTGTCAAGGCTTTTAAAACCTTTCATTTGTTAAAAGATAATAAATTACAATGAAGGAAATATAAACATAACAGGAACTTTCACCATTATAACAATAAGCAATGCTTTAAGTAGCATAATCATTCTGTTGATTTTTTTCTGAAGTTTCCAAAAACTGTGACTGCAATTAAGATACTAAAAACATTACTTTTTGAGGAAAGAAATGAGACTATCAGAAATAGTCAAATGAGATTGTTCAACAAATGACTTGTAGATATGTGCAATTTGCGCGAAAACATCCGACAATGATTTGAGTGCCAACAGAAGCGATGGATCTTGTGGTAATAATTCGTAACATAACTGACCGATCACAATTGATAAAGTACTGGAATTTGATTATTACTAAAGTTTGCAATATGTTTGATCCATGGTCTAATTCTTGTTTGCTTAATTGCACTTACAGTTGACGTATTACGTCAATACCATTCTATCCATATGATGTTCTTAAAATCTCGAAAATATTTGACTAGTCCTAATGTATTACTAAAAGAAAAACCTACTAAAAATCATTTACATAACTTTTGCCATGTTCTGCCAAAGCATTAAGTAATTGCAACACCTGAAACAGTACGAGTATCTTTCACAAATATTTTTTAGCTCTTTTCATAGTGATACTACTAAGAAATGATAAAATTATGCTTTCTTTATTAAATTAACAGAATACAAATTAATAACTGATGAGATTGAAATCACTCTATCATCAGTTGTATGATGTAGGAAAGAAACAAAATGTTCGAAGCAATCAATTTTATTTCTACCTCTAAGATGAATAATTTTTTATTGATTATCAAAGCCTGGAATTTAGCATACAGAATTTTTGATATCAATAAGTTGTTATATTTAATTATCTATGAAATAATATAATTACCTCCGTAAGCTTTGAATCTAACTTGGCGAAGTACTGTTCATGTGTCAAAATTGCTTGTCTGAAACAAACTAATTAAATTCCATTCTTAATTATCATTGATGTGAAGATCCTTTAAAGAAATTGAGTGAATGGTATTTTATAGAAAAAAAGCCTTTAAAAGAGAATGAATCAATTACAAATACTTTATTTTGCATTCTCAAAATACACATCAAAAACTTTAAAAATGTAATTTATAGAACCTACAGAAAATTGACCTGAACCTTGGAGAATCTTTCAGTGCCTCGGTAAAATCAAGTTTTGGAAGGGATTCCACCATCATTGACAGTACGTATTCCTCTTTTAAATTAATGCTACTCAGATGATGTTGAAGTAAGCCACTATGGATTCTGCTCTAGAATCTACTACACAGTAATTGTAAGTGTAAGTGATGATGTGAAGAAATAATCAGAAATAAAAACATATGACAGTAATTGGTACAGGCGACAGCTTTCTTTGAAGGATATTGAAAGCAATATCAATTCATCTCAAAATACAAGATAAAATTAAACTTTCACACAATTTATACGCAAAGTAATTCATCCCAAAATATTCATTTTAATGTTATCTAATAGTGGTACAAATGAGTGACTGAAAAGATCATATATTCCATGCCTAATCTTTGGTTAGAATATTAGTTGAGGACAAATATGGGTTATAAGAAAGGAAAAATGATCAGAACTATCAATATTCTTCTTTAGCAATTTGTATGATTCACCAAATGTAGTACTGTATCACTAATAGCATTCTAAAAAAATTCATCATGTCCAATAAGAATTTCAAAAATATTCGAATTTAGCTCCTAAGGATAATTGAAATTATTTTTTATTTGAAGGAATCAAAAAAAAGTTGATAATTAAATCCTTCTCGCGAGAATATTGGTGAATCTTTATTCATGAATGAATGATATCATTTGCAAATTCCCGTCTGGAACAGACTAATCGGGAAATAATTTGATAATGAATTGAAAAATCCACTAGGAAACTAATGTACAAAGAACATAGAAGTGATTTTTATTAGTGTCAAAATGATAACAAAACAACAAACCAACTAAAATGACATAAATACCCACACAATTTCAACAGAAATACAGTAAAAAGAAATCACTGGATTAAATTAAATCGACCAGAAAAGAGTTAATTGAGAATGACCCGTTTTGTCCACATAAACTGAAACTTTACGGCTCTCCAGTGCAGAAGGCTGGATAATACTTGAGTTCGGAGAAGAAAAGCATAGATAGAAGAGGTAGGTGAAACGCAGCATAGGAAGGAAAGTAAAATTGTTTATATTTACCATTTTTTTCCTTCTTAGGAAAAGATAAAAATATGAGAGATTTCATTTTTAAGTTGATTCATATCAAAAAAAATGATTATAAACTTCACATCAAAGTCAAACACAGAAAAGAGTCAAATGTAACTACAATTTCTATAAGACACAAGCATGAACAAAAATATATACCTTATAATTAAGTCCTGCCAAGTCCAGCAGTTAAAAATGGTAAAGCTAGAAATGAGATGCGTAAAATTACGCATAATTTTGATTAAAAAAACAGTAAGTTAGCTATAAAACAAATAAAGCTTAGCAAAATGTAATTCAAATGAAGGAGTTAAATTTCAAGGTCATCATCGGGATCACTCTCATCGAGATCGTCTGCTTCATCTGGAGTGTAAATAATGCGACCACCAGCTCGAATCTTACGATTTTCTCTTACATGCAACCTTACCAATTCTGAAATAACAATGAAGAAATATCCGGAAAATGAATATCTCAATTCTGGTTTTGATGTGCTAAGATATCTCAGAAAATGACATGCAGCTGAAGAAAAGCTATCAAAAAAGATAAAAGTGCCAGATTTTATACCTTCTTCTTTTTGAGCAGTTTCATAAGGTAAAGATACACGTTCCTTGGCTTCACGCTCTGACTTTCGCAAATGAAGTCCGATATCAAAGGAACTCTCGGGGATCGGCAACTTACTATTTCTCTCAGAAAATGTCTTCGAATCTTGTGCTTCGTATTCTTTGAAAATTGAGCGGAATGAGTCATCGACATATATTGTTCCTACCTGCAAAATTACAAAAGATACGGTTTTTGATGAATAAATTGGAGATGCAAACTATATATGAATAAAAAGCGAGAAATACAGCTAATATATGTTGTCAGAAATTTTTTTTATACAAAGACAGATATCGTACTTCGTGCACAATAGAAAAGCCTTCGCTAAAGAAAGTAAAATCTACATAACCAAGAATACCTTAATAAATAAAAATCTTAATAAAAAGGTTATGCAATCTTGAATTACCATAAAACAATTATAATATATATATATATATATATGTATAATTGAATCTTTTTACAGTGCAATGGTTTTTATATGCAAAATCATAATTTTTACAAATTAGATAAATATCACCTTTAAATTTCTTTTCCCATCAGCCCTGTATGAAATAATTGTACAAAGAGGTGTCACCATGTTTCTCAGTTCCAAAGAATACGTCACATGAGCAATGGAGCTCAATCTATCCCAATTCTGAGTAGAAATACATTCATCATGCATTCGTGCAATGACAGTGGCGTATTCTGAAAGTTGAGAAGTATGCTGATAAACATGAAGAGAAAATTCACATTAACCATTCACCAAGCCTTGATAACAATATTGGAGGTGAATCCTTGTAAGTATGAGGCAACATAACAGGGTATACTTTGCATTTAACCGGCTGTTAAGTATTCTTGGAGAGCAAATACTCCTTTTCAAATAAGACTAAATGGCAACGCAATGCTGCACTTTATACTCATTTACATGCTTCAGAAAGTAATCATAAAAAACTTACGCGAAATTTCCTTCAACAATACAATTACTCGATCGAAAGAACTATCCAAAGAAATAATATCAATCGAATCTAGGAACACTGTTGTTTTCTCAGCATTCTTTAACAAATCAATAATTTTACGAAAAATATTCGAAAATGGATCGATTTCCTCCACTAGTGTGCAAAGCAGCATAAAAGGGTAACGCTTTATTAACGAACTTTTACATGACGTAAATAAATACACCAGTACTTGTCCTTTGTTACGTTCGATAGCATCATGCACTAAACTGGCCCATATTCTTTGTGCACTGCATCGCAAAGTATCTGCAAATATCAAGTTCAAAAGACTTATATTCATCATTACATACCAAAGAGCTTCCCTAACTTCTACTATTATAATTTAATTAGGCATATTACTCTATCATCTTATAATACCTCTTCAAACTTTGATTTTCAAATTTCGGAAATATTACAGAGCAGTAAGTAATCATCAAAAGTAACATGTTAGTGAAATCGTGAAATATCGCTAGCAGATAGGATATTTCAATCTATAATTTAATTTCTAATATATAAAAAGCAAACGGCAGAGTGACAGAATCTTGAGCAAAGAAATAGAAACACTTCAAGATAACTGAAAAAATAATTCTCGATAATAATTTTTATAAGCTGTTATGGATTAAATAATTCACAAGACAGCATTCAACCCTTACAAATTCTCATAAGCGTAGTCTTCTAAAATGCTCGATTTTTTTTTTTGACAACTAAAGAAGGGTAATGTGCCGATAGTTCTAACAACATATCAATCAAAGCAAATCCTATTCACAACATGCTTCTCTATCACAGAAGTCAGACCCACAGATACAATTTATTACCTTTTATTACTACCAAACTTTTCCAACGTATATTCTCCATTACGTCATACGTTTTGCAAACAAATCAGTAGGCTAATGCAGATATTTTCGCTTTTGTTTACAGCTTCTAAATAACTATACTGTCATAGTTGAAACTTCATCCTCAAATAAAAATTTGTAATTTTTTTTGTTGTTAAGACCGTCGAAATCGAGTTACACAAGGATACAAACAAACAATATTTTAGATGTGTGTTCTTCGACTATCATTTTTTTATACATATAAAAGCAACAAATGATAATTTATGGAAACGAAGCCCGAAACCCAAAGAAATCTCTTTTGATGCAAATACGCTCGAATTTTGCAATCATCAAATATAAGGAAATTATATTCATGGGATATTTTATTATGACCAAATGAAAATCAACTATATAAATTAAAAAAAACAATATAAGCAAAAACGAACATGAAGTAAACAAACATTAAAAACGAATGTTTTAACAGCTTGTGCTTAGCCATACAAAACGACACTAACAACATGCAGTATAATTCAATGAGATCAAACCCATCAAATGAGTGCACACGATCCAGTAAGATCATCAAAATTGTTTAAGCGTCAGTAGCTTTTGATGTTACTAAGATGTGGTTACACACAAAATATAAATATATCAAGCCTTTCTATTCTAGGCTATCACAATTGTGCAAAACATTTTGAAACTGTCTTTGCGGGGGTCCACAAATTATCCCAAATCTTACATGAAAAATATTCGTATTCTAGCAACTAATACAAATTTATACGCTTTCCATTAGTACATCGGCAGTTGTCTTAGTTTCACTTTCTGATTCAGCCACCACAGATTCATCTGCTTTTTCAACGTTTTCAGATATAGTAACAACAGTTGTGCTACCGGACATCGTACAGTCCATTGGCTCATCTTCAACTGCCTCTTTCACATTCTCGCTCTGGACTTTTTCAGTTTCGGCAATTACATCATTTTTAATTTCATCTGCAAGAATTTGTTTGCAAATTGATAAAAATGTCAAGAGAAAATTTTGAAAGAGTTCTATTGCAAATATCCAAATGAGAATTTAACTTTCCTAAAAAGACTTGGAATAGAAGCCAGCAAAGTCATAATATTCCTTTAGTTCGCCTAAGAACCTTCTCAAATATGTTCTACAAGCTTACATAACCCAATATACACCATTTCGTTAGAATTTCCAAGATAAATTAATACTTTCTTACAGCAATCCACAAAAAGACACTTGAAGAAACACGCTCCGTCTGAGATCATTAAATTTAATAAAGATCAGCAGAAATACCGAAAAATAACCTTTTCCTTCCCTACTAAACTCGGCTTCCTCTTCTCCAACTTTCTTCTTTTCTTTATCTTTATCTTCTTGCTCTTTCTTCATATCCTTTTCACTGGCAACTGTTTCAGACACCGAATTCCTTGATAAAGCGGCAAACTTTGGTTGTATTCCGGAAAGCTGCTGTCCAAGAGTAGGAGTAACGAAGGGACCAGGTGGAGGTAATGGACTTTTCCCCGATGCTGCCTCTGGATCACGCGTTGTTAATCGACTTAATATTCTATAAAAAGAAATTATTATTTACCTTCCTTTCACACAT